CTTTTTTCTTCAATAACTTTTTAATAATTTTTATTTTGAATTCCTTCGAAGAAAAACATTTTTAGAAAATTAAGCGACAGTTTCTTCGAGCACAAATTGTTGTTTTTTTTTCGGAAGCTTTGTCGTGATTTTATTATTTTGCTGATTGTGAAGTTTTTAAACAAAATCTCCTATAGGCATGAAAGCGCTGCAAACGGAACAGAACTTGGTATAATTTTAATTTTTAATACATTGTTTTCATTCAAAGAGATTGTTAGAATGAAAGATTTATTAACAGAATAAAAAAATTTTCCTTGCAATATATAGGGTTATTTTTGAACAAAGGTATTGTAGATCATGCTGGTGGTATTTTAGATTATACTGATAAAAAAAGATATGATTTAAAAAATTGATATATAAATGATATAAAAATGATATAAAAACATGATTTAATAATTATAAATATATCCAAAATACATACAAAAAAATTAAGACATGGTATATAAAAAGGAAGGCGAACATTATATGTACGATTTTATGTACATTTATTTTTATTAATCTCTATATGTCAGTCAATGTAGACATAGAGTATCCGGAAAAAAGTATTTTGTTTAAAAAAACAAAACAAAAAAAAAACATAAAAAATCTTCAATTAAATTTAAATAAACTGTAACTTTAACTTGGACTACAATAAATATTGGATCGCGCTATTCAAAAAAAGCTTTCTAAATAATTAAAAATGTTAAAGAACGGTTTAAAAATAGCGAGTATTAGCTTTGATTTGAAATAAGAGTAGTTTCCTCAAATTTTTAGACCTTTGATTTTATGTGATTCAGGTTCAGCATAAAAGTCTTTTTTTTTAGTTGGTGTAACTTATTTCGCGGTTAAAGAATGTTTACATTACATATACATATATCAAAATTAATGGCAGGAGCAAGAAGAAGGCAGAGTTTCCTTAACGCCGAGCTACACATATAAAAAAAAAAAACTCTACATAAAAAAACTCTTCATTACCGTTACATACAAATAATACAAATATATCAAATAATGATCAGAATTGAAACAGAAAATAACTGAGAAAATTAAGAAATTCAAAATAGCAAATAATTGTTGTAATAAGAATTGTTGAAATGCTAACAACCACTAAATATTTAAAAATCATTTAAACAAAAATTTTTAAATAAAAAAATAAAATTTCATAATTAACATTTTAACAATATGAGTTTTTAACATCATTACTTAAATTTCATTGATATAAATAAATTTGTTTTTATTTGATTAAACTTTAAAATAAACATTTGAAGTCAGTTAAATTAGATATTTAATTGAATAGGAGGTTAATTTTAAATTATACTTGAGAAGAACAAAGTTGTTATTAGAAAACTTTGTTGAATATTTATGATTAATTTTATTAAAATAGGTTTGAAAAATTATTGGGGACAATCTCATTTTTGATTTAAACATAAACAATAAAACTTGGTGTAAATTGAGTTTATACACATTTAAAGCACCCAGTGCACGTAAAAGTGGTTCGCAAGGAGTATTTCTGTAGGCTCCAAACACTATTCTGCATGCATGTTTTTGTTTGTTGTAGATATTTTTAAGTTTTGTATAGCCAATACTAGCCCACACAATATTACAGTAAGACAATATCACAAAGACTCCTAATGTATAACAGTCATTATCAGTCTACGGTCATAACCAATCAAAAAATCAGGTGGGAAAAAAGTTAAGTAGCGTCTATTAGGACTGTCGAAACTATAAAAATGCCTGCCCGGGTCAGTAGCGTAGCGAGGATTTTTTGGTTCTTTGAGATAGCTAACTTCTAGACATAGAGCAAACTTCAAACATTTGTATGTCTATACTTACATCAAATAAGGATGGTTTGCAAAAAAATTGCGATGATTGGAGTCTGGGAACAAAAAAATCCGAAACTTTAGCGCCCCCCTGCCCTAAGCGTGAGAGCAACAAGTTGATAAAATATTTTTTTACTAGTCTTAACTTAAATTCATCGATAAATTTTAAGTTTTATAGCAAAACTTATTTCTTTTGTTGCTAATTCAACCCAAGAAATTAATACATTAACATTATAAACATTTTAAAAATTATTTTTGCTAACGCAACAAAAATAAAGCTGTAGCACAAAATAGCATTAACATAATTATTATGCAAAATAGCATTAACATAATTATTATGCAAAATAGCATTAACATAATTATTATGCAAAATAGCATTAACATAATTATTATGCAAAATAGCATTAACATAATTATTATGCAAAATAGCATTAACATAGTTATTATGCAAAATAGCATTAACATAATTATTATGCAAAATAGCATTAACATAATTATTATGCAAAATAGCATTAACATAATTATTATGCAAAATAGCATTAATATAATTATTATGCAAAATAGCATTAACATAATTATTATGCAAAATAGCATTAACATAATTATTATGCAAAATAGCATTAACATAATTATTATGCAAAATAGCATTAACATAATTATTATGCAAAATAGCATTAACATAATTATTATGCAAAATAGCATTAACATAATTATTATGCAAAATAGCATTAACATAATTATTATGCAAAATAGCATTAACATAATTATTATGCATAATAGCATTAATATAATTTTTAAACTAGTTTAGTAATGTTACTAGTAAATAAAATTATTTTTACAACAATATTGTAGGCTTCCCCATTAATGCTGTTCTCAATTAAATCTAATCTCATTTGGATAGAATTCAACCTAATTGTTGGGTAATGAATATTAAATTAAATTTTAAATTATAAAGTTTGTGTTACTAAAACCATGTTTCAACAGTAGGTTAACCAAAATAACAAAACTAAAATAGTTAAAAAATAATAACTATAAGAGTATAAAACATCATGTTACAGGCCCGTTGCAACCGGGGGGTCAGCAAGGGCATTTTAAAATTTGAAAAAATGACTAAAAAAAAAAAGTCATTAAAACTATTTTGGAGCCGCTTAATCCAGCGCTGCCTCCTATATAATTTTTTGTTTCTACAGGCCTGTGCTATACTTTGTAAAAAAGCGGCTATTATAGACTTTGTGCTTAATAAAGGCAAAATCAAGTACACTTTAAAAATCACAAAATTTAATTGAGGAAACTAATTAAGTTTTATATATTTTTTTTTTTTTTAAAAAAACGCAAACTAACATAATGGAAATATTCAGAATGTTTTTGTTTTTTTGCATGAAAGTTTTTTTGCAAAAAAATAAAAACATTGTTAAATTTTTTGAATTGAATTTTTATTATTATACTGTTTACATATATTCACATCAAATAGGTAGTCTATGTAGCAGCATTCCTCCATTCCATGCGAGAAATACTGCTACATCGATCCTCGTGGCCAAATCGCTGTCTTTATCGTTACAATTATAGCTAGCTATTCGCTAGTCAATTTCCGACCGGAATACTGGCTAATATGTTATTAGCCAATGAATTATGTTCAAATGCGAGGAGTGCTGCTACATCGATTAAAAAATAGGTAGAACATACGATTGTGCTGTTAAATTGATTGAAGGTTTTGGTTTGGATTGGCAATCATATGCCTACGGGTCTTGTCTGTCATGCACAGGCCTGACTTGCAAAATTTGATCTAACTTACAGTATAAATTGTATAAGATCTCTATATAATTTTATAGTTATTGATAATTTGTGTTTATATTTAATTATGTTTATTTTTATAATTAATTTATTATTATTTATGAAAAAAGTAAAACTAATTTAATCATTATATAATAATAATGATAAAGCTTATAAAGAAATTTTGGGGTCATATCCCTAAACCAAAAGTTAACTTTTTTTAGGGGGTGATGGGGGTGCAGGAACCTACTCCCCCTGAATATGCCACAGTTGCGCACGGCCTGCGAATAAGGTCTGAACACACCTATGATATATATATATTATATATATATATTATATATATATATATATATATATATATATATATATATATATATATATATATATATATATATATATATATATTATATATATATATATATATATATATATATATATATATATATATATATATATATATATATATATATATATATATATATATATATATATATATATATATGTAAATATATATATATATATATATATATATATATCCTTATAGTGTAGTCGAAAAGCACTTCTATGGTAAAAAAAAGTCTCTTTCGACTAGAATTTTTATTACCTCGGTATTTGATTGTCATCGAAATGTCAAAGCAATTAAATTAATGCGGAAGTACATTAAATTTTAATGTTTTTTAAAAAAACCGCAATAATAATGACTAGAAAGTTTTTTTTAATTAGTGGTGTTTTTGTTTTTGTTTTATTAAAAAATATTTTTAAAACAAGCGTAAGTGTTGCTACATCGACTGACAAATAGCAAGGCTCGCAAGAAAGTGCTGCTATATCGACTGACAAATAGCCTGACTCGTAAGGGAGTGCTGCTACATCGACTGACAAATAGCCTGACTCGCAAGGGAGTGCTGCTACATCGACTGACAAATAGCCTGACTCGCAAGGGAGTGCTGCTACATCGACTGACAAATAGCCTGACTCGCAAGGGAGTGCTGGTACATCGACTGAGGGTTTGGTTTGGGCAGGCAGTTTATCATTTATATAAAAAAAATTATATATTTGAAAGTTTTTAACATTTTCTGATCAGGCTTATTAACGCGCTCTTTAAATCAACAGTTAATCGGAAAAACTTTGTGACTATAGTCCGTCAGGGTTAGGGTTAGGGATATATATATATATATATATATATATATATATATATATATATATATATATATATATATATATATATATATATATATATATATATATATATATATATATATATATATACGCACACACACACACACGCACACACACACACACACACACACACACACACACACACAGGGGCTATTCTAGACAATTTTCAATAGCGTCGACCATATTTGGATACTTTTTTTTTACGGCGAATATTGTTTTTATCGCGAAAAAACGCAGATTTTCCGCTATAGCTAGCCGGAACGAGGGGGTATCACCGTCTAATATTTATACAAATAAAGTATAAAATCTTATATGCTGACGTATATTTGTAGAAATACATTTATACACCAGGTCATAAAGGCATGAAATTAGTGA